AGGGACCTCTCTAAAGTTTTGAAGAAAAATGATGTTAGTTTGAGAACTAAGGGAGGATTTATTCAGGCATGGTGTTTTCAATCACTTATTATTCTACTGAGAGCTGGAGAGTTAATAAGGATGTTGTTGTTGTTGTTATGTGCTGTCGAGTCGCCTGCGACTCATAGCGACCCTATGTACAACAGCCGTAAACTCCACTCTGTCCTGTGCCAATTGCACTGTCTCTGACACTCCCATCCCAATTATCCCAGTCCCTGAATCAATGCACCTCATAGAGGGCCTTCACAGAAGAATAATTTTACTTTTGGATAGTGGTGTTGGAGAAGAGTAGGGAGTATCTGGTGGTCTACCAAAAGAACAAACAGATATATCTTGAAGAAGGTGTGACCAAAGTAATCTTTGGAGGCAAAAATGATTAAACCTCACCTCACATAATTTAAGCATGTTGTTAGGAGAAGCTATTCATTGGATAGGGACGTCATACTTGCAAAGGTGGAGGCATGGCGAAAAAGAGGCAGAATCTAGACTAGGTGTATTGACACAGGAACTATGGCAATGGGCTCAAATGCATCAGAAATTTTGAGGGTGGCACAGGATAGGACAGGGCTCAGATTTATTGTTCATAGGGTCACTGAAAGTCATACTCAGTTTGATGACACCTAACAACAACAACTACAGTGGAGCAAGGCAGTTGGTGTTAGAATTAGCAGTAGTAAGTGTGGAAGCATGGAGATCGTGTCTCAATTTATGGGAATTGAATTTATAATGTGGATGTGGACTGTTCCCTTTTACCAAAGATCAAACTTCACCAACTTGACATAACATGCATTCTTTTTAAAATAGTGACAACATGCAAACGACTTGATAAGTTATAATCAAGTTGTAATGAGAATTGACTCACAAGTTGGTTTTAAATAGTATTTCTGTTGTCCTGCCTTTCCAAATATTTCTGAGACATTTCTGCCAAAACACCATCAACAGGAGGAGGAGAAGAAGAGGGAGAAAAAGGAGACAATAAAGCATCCAGCTTACATCTTGTAGAGTCTTGGATGTGGAGAGTTTTGTGAGCTAACTCCATTGCAGGCATTACTTTGATGGAATCCATTGATTCCTATAGAAGCTCTCCTGTATGAGGGCTGTTGTTGTGTGCTGAGAGTAAACTGCAACTAGTGGCTCCATGTGACACAATGGAATTTCCCAACAGAGTATTTTTGCGTGATTATTTTGGAAGTAGATTGCCAAACATTTTTTTCTGTGGTCCAGGTATTTTCCTATCACCAATCTTTCCATTACAAGCTGAGTGCTTGACTTCAAGGGCTCCTTCTCCAGGAGGGTAGGTTCATTTAAATTGGGAACTAGTAAACTATGAATTATAAACAGAGTTGGGCCAGTGAATGTCTTTTAAACTTCACTGGAACAAATCTATATCCATTTGTTACATTTTTGTCTATGGCTGCTCTCTCATTACAGTGACATAGTTGGAAAGTTGCTGAGTACTCACAGAACAGTAGCCTGGCAAATGCCTATCTAATCACTATCTGGTTCTTTATAGAGAAAACTTACTGTCTCTTGCTTTAAATCTTTCCTGCTAAACAGTTTTATCACTTTTCTTTCCTGCTAAACAGTTTTATCACTTTTGGAGCATAGAGCTGGAAATCCCACTCATTCAATGAAGTTCGAGATATCTTAAGTAAATAGATATAAATGCAGGAGTAGATAAATGATGATAGTTATAGAAGGGTTCAGGTATTTTGTTCATAGGATCACTATGAGTCATGGTTGACTAGATGGAAATCAACAACAACAGATTGCATATGTTGTTTCTTGTTATGTGCTGTCAAGTTACCTGTAATGCAGAGCAACCTTATGTGCAAAAGCTCTGAAGCCTGCTCTGTACTAAATCAGTCTCACTGACTTTGACATACTCACCCCATAGCCCCAGTCATTGTATCAATCATCTCATCTGAGGTCTTCCTCCCCTGCGTTGTCCCTCCACCCTTCTAAGCATCATGTCTTTCTCTAAGGACCTGTTTCTTCTGGCCTTGTGCCCAAAGTATGTGAGATAGTCCTAGTCCAAGGGGAAACTTAGTTTCACTCTCTCCAAGAGAGGCCTATTTGTTTTCTTTGTGGCCCATGGTATGTTCAGTGCTCTTCTCCAGCACAACTTATTATATTCTATATTATATTCTTATTGTATAATTATATATTATTTATAACATTTATTATATAATAAATTATATATTATTTTATTTATATATTCTTATATAATATATTCTTATTATATTTTAGCTTATTATTTATGAATTTTAAAGGAGGTGTGTAAGGGTCAAGCTCTTGTCTGTTAACTGAAAGATCTGTGGTTCACATCAAATAAGTTACCTCACAATATAAAGATTACCAACTGCCATCAAGTTTCTGACTCATAGTAATCCTACAAGAAAGAGTAAAACTGACTTATAGGGTTTCAAGAGCTGTAAATCTCTGTGGTTTCCAACTGTTGATTTTTTCATTAGCTGTTGTTGCTGTTTAATGCCTTTGAGTTGTAGATAGATGACTCGTAGCGACCCTATGAACGAACAGCCTGAGCACTGTTGGTACATAGTTTCCAGAGGCAAGCCATTTCGGAAGTGGATGCCGCTCCTGCTTCTAGGCTTGATTTAGTCGGGAAACTCCAGCCAACACTGTCCACCATGGGTACTAGCCAAGCATTTTCATCACTGCTCCACTAAGGTTCCCCAATAAAGATTACATTTATAAAAACCCTATAAGGTAGTTCCACTTTCCCCTATAATCATAATTTACTTGACAACAATGAATTTAGTTTAACATTTAATGAGACTAGATCATACCCTGGACCATATGTTAGAAATAATTTGCAAGATAGGTCATCTTATTTTTATATCTCAAGGAAATTGAAGTTTTACTGAAGATGAGGCATTTGAGGAAAACACAAAGAGACATTCTATGTGCTCAAGAATAATTAATCTCAAACAATAGGGACAGTTATTTCTGTGTAGTCATTTATTGTTCATTATTTCCCAGACACAAACCTGTTAAATTCAATCTTCCAAGTTGGCAGGCATATTTTTCCTGCTTTTACATTGTAGAGTAAGTCAGGAGGCAGGAACATGTAGGAACACATATTCAATAAATTAATGACAATAGCAGGGTTGTGTTGATGTTTTATTTTGGGGGTTCCCCCCTGAATGATACAGTAACTAAAGAGTCTGAATTTTTTTTTTCAGAAGTGAATAGAGTTAATATAGTTCAAATTCTTTGACTTACACTGAAGAGAAAACAAACAAAAACAAAGGTCTGGTCAGTGATTTTGGAAGAGAGCCAGAGCTGCTGGGCAATCTTCTGAGTCCCTGCTCGAGGCTCTTTTTTGACCCAATTATATTCTCTGGGTTGGTTTTTCATTTTTGTCCCCAGGTTGATCCAAAAGCACACTTGGCATTATCATGGTATTGGTGGGCAAGAAAGAAGACATCTTGTTTGTTGTCAAAATTTTGGGAATTATTTAACCTATTTTTTTTCTCTGTATACTCATACATTTTTGTATTATTCCATTTCCAGTTTATGCTGTCTCAAGAATGTATTCTTTTTGGGCCTGTCTGTCTCTGTACATTTCATATTCTCGTGCTGCTGTGCCGCCTCTCTTGACTTTTCTCTTTAAGGCTGACTGCTTTCTACTTGGCCCTTCCCTCTTCCATTCTTGTTCCTTTATGAAACAAGAAGCAATACTTTATCCTTTCTTGGCAGACATCTACCCTCCCTTTCAAAGAAGAAAGAGTCAGGTAGGGTGTCTGTGGAATGTCTGTGGAAATAAAGAACAAAAATGGAATTGACAGAGCAAGCCAAATAGTAAGAAAATAAGGCTTTGCTGCAAATGGAAGAAAGAAAGAAAATCATACCAAAGGAAGGAAAATAAAATGGTCTGACAACACTATTTCTCTTTTCAAGTCATTATGGGGAGTAGGGAGGGGAAGAATGGCCACGGAGAGATTTTATTAGTCATTGCTTTCTCCCTGCTGCCTCAGGCTGAGGACAAATCTGCTTGCTCCATCCATTATCTTCTGATTTTTTTCTCATGTTTAATAGTAAATCTCGCTATGAATATCTCTACTTTACTCTCAAATTAACTATATCATTAGCAAAATACTGGGTAGTGTGTCACTTTTAGCAGCATAATCATTAGTGGTGACTAGGCTTAGTTGTAAAGAGTTGTGTTGCCAACCCAAAGGCACATGGTTTGAATCCAACAGCGACTCTGTGGGAGAAAGATGGGCAAACTCCTCTCATGTGCTTGACTGAAAACCCAGTGGAGGGTCACTTATGTGTCTGTTCAAATTCCATGATACATAACTGCAAGAGGCACGCTTTTATTTAATTTATGACCTTTGTCTTCAGACCTGATAGTCATCATCCTCAAAGTTCCTTGTTTACATAAAGGTAAGGACTCACTTTTGCAAGATGAAACATATTCATATGTAAGGATAAATAATGCTAAGATTATTTATAGTATGGAGGGAGCATGAGTGATTGGCTTTTTTATGACGCACAGTGGTATAATGTAGCAGGTTACTAATAAAAAGATTAGCAGTTCAAATCCACCAGCTTCTCCTTGGGAATAAACAGGGCAGTTGGCAAGTGTTAAAATTCACAGCCTCTTAAACCCAAGGGTCGCTATGAGTTGAAACTGACTCAATAGCAGTATGTTAAAACTATCTGCTCTCTGGTCAGTTTGAGATGGGACAAGGTTAGACTCTTCCATGATGCCATCAAAGGAGAAAGAGGTGTCAGGAAATACCTCTTGTGTACGGTGTCACATTTGCTTTTCTCCCATGTATTTAGTCAGGCCACAGATAAAATGTGACCATAGGACGGACCCCATAATAAACACCGTGGCCCAGAAACTAAATTATTACACCCAACCTACTTTACTTCTTTTCCAAACCTCTTGGTACTTTTTCCTTTTCTCTCAGCATTTGCCAAGTTACCTGTTGATGCTGTTTTTCTGTGCTAACATCTGCCAGTCTTTGCCTTTGGCATTTGGAGTATCAAATGTAGCACAAATTCGCTGTCTGATGGAGTAGGGGATTTTGAAGGCTTTGGGGCCAGTCTGTGCAGGGAAAGTGCTGTCCTCTTGTGCAAAGAAAGTGATGGTTTCTCTTTCACTCTATAAACAAAACAATGAAAGTATGATTAGATCCAACTAAAGACATTACTGATACATAATTAAAAAACACTGTTAGCACATAGGTGCAAAAGGCTTGCTTGTTTGATATATTCTATAAAATACATTGACAAAGCACCTCTTCTTTCTAAAATATTGAAGCACTTTTCTAATATCTTAATTAACCATGTACAAGAGATTTACAACCACTCAGGGAGGTAACAGTCACCAGCTCCCAATATACAAAGAGCTGTTTTAGTTAAGGAGAGGCATGGATTTGTCTTGTTTGACTCTCAGAGATAGCTAAAAATCAGTATGAAAATATACTGAATGATAGAATGGCAGGTTTAAGTTCAGTGTAAGAATGGCTCTCTCCTAGTCAGAAGTAACCAAGGATGAATGAACTTGATCAAACGAGTCTGATGGAGAACTACATGGCAGGTGAACCATGAAAGCCTGCATAGTGGATATCTGAAAGATATTTTTGTTTTGTTTTGTCCAAGTTATAAAGTTTTACATTTCTATATTTTGCATTTTCTTCTTGTTTCAGAATGAAACTATTTTAATAAAGTTGAAAAAGCCAGGAGACAAAGATAACAGCTAGCATACTTTTTTAGACTGCATGGCTTTTACGTGTTTCTAGTTTAGACCTTACTAATAAGGTTTGGCCATTTCACTACAGCACAGCAACTAAAACATTATATTCAGCACAGAATTCCATAGAAGTTGGTCAGATTAGAGCAGCAAAGGTTGCTGGTCAAAATTATGTACTATAACAAGACTCTAAAGTTTTAAAGAGAATTCATTTTCATGGCCATGATAAGTGACAGGAACAGAAAAATGCGCAGTATTTAGTAACTTGGCTCTGAGTTGACAAAAATAAAGATGGTCTTGTGTGGGTTAACTTATACAGATGATGATTTTAAATAAACCAGAGAGAGTTCTTATCAGGAGGAAATATTGGCTGGAAAGAGAACAAAACCTTGATGCCAGTTTCCTATGAAGAACGCTAAGTGGTTCTGATATGAAAGTAGCCTCAAGGAGTTGAGGGTGACCCCTAGTTGATAGATAGCAAAAAATATGGGATAACAATACCATGACCACAAGGAAATGAATTCTTCCAGAATCCTGGGAAAGACATCTCAGCCCAAGATGAGACCAGCATCTTGGTCAATACAACCTGTTCAGTCTTATGAGATCCTGACTAGATAATCTAACCGTGCTGCATCTAAAGCTCTGCTCAGTAGAAATGTGAGATAATAAAGTTAAGTCACAATTGTTGATTTTAGCGGCTACATTTGTGGTCAATTGTTAAGCAGCAGTAAAAATGTAACTTAAGAGAAACTTAAGCACCATGTTTGAAATAGGGTTGGTGAACTTGATATGTTTGTTAGACGTCATGGTCTAGAATTCTATCTTGCTTCAGCGAACACATAGACTTCCTGAACTATTTCCTGTAAGCGATCTATGCCTTGATAATTTTTCTGACCTTTAAATGCAAGCACCCTAATCATGGTGTGCCTTTTCAAGTAGCATCCCGGGGTCACACAGCAATAAATCATTAGACTTGATGCATCTTTCCAAAATTTGGTAATTAAGGAAATGGTTTTATTAATGATTTGTAAAGTCTTCTGTATGTGACATAGCTGAAACTAGAATTCAGATATTCTGATATTTATTCTTTCCACTACACTACCCTGCTTCAGAACAGATTTAAAGAAATCTGCAAAGTATGATCATAAGAGATACACTCTTAGAGTAATATAAGCTTTATATTCAAAGAACTTAAAAGTAGAAATGACTTCATGGAGGATGCATGTGCTCGAGGCTCCAAGGATATGCGAAAAGTGGTTGGAAATGTAGTTACTGTAGGCAGGATGGAAAATTCTGCTTTCATATATTGGATGAACATAAAAAACAAACCAATTCGGGATTGTTAGTACATAAAATAAGTTATAAGATACCTTATTTTTTTTATCATAGTTTGTAAAATTTCTTGTAGGTGCTAAAAATGTAAATCAAGTTAGAATAGCTTCCTTGTATTTTTTTTTTTTACTTGAAAGTATCTTCAAAATGTGTGTGTATGTATGTGTGGGCAGATGTATGCATGCTAGAGCAGAAGGAGGAGGAAGAATTCTGTCCTTGCTAATAGCCAAGGCTGTTACCCAGAACAAAGGGGACTTGAGAATCAAACAGAAAACAGAGTGTTCACACTGAAGCCTCACAGTTTACAGCTGGCACCTTTGAATTGTCAACTAAACCCTACCTTTCCTGATGACAACGCGTGGCCATTTAATGTGTCTTGGGGGGGGGGAAGGGAGGGAGATGGGCAACATGGTCTTATTTGAAAATGAAAACAATTTTTATGTGAGTCTGAGTCAAAAAGACTTTTTCCCCCATTTACTACAATTTAATGTAAACATGTATTTCACTCATAAAATATCCAAATTTAAATTATTTCTATACATAAGGAAGACTTTATGTAACATTTATGATGCATTCTAAAAGACATCCGGGTTGAGTAATGAGAATGCTGTAGATACATCACATTTTCTGATTGTTTAAATTAAATATGCAAAGGTACTGTAGATTGTCATGCTCTGCACATCAGAGATAAGAGGCTGCTACCTGGTTAACTTAGCATGGCATAAATCAATGAGAGATTCCAAGTATTCTGTCTATTCTCTAACAGACAAATTGTTCCCAACTTCCACCACTTTTGGAAGATAAGAAAATTGCTTGCAGGGAAAATTGTAACATGCAAAGTTCCCATTTAAGTGGCTTACATGAGGGGGGGAAAAGTGTTTTATGATACTACATTAACAAGAAATGTTGAAATAAATTTCTTAGAGATTCCTTTTTTCTCTTTGTTAATAGCAAACTTGTTTTGTTTCAGTTTACTGGTTTTAGACCGGCCATCTTGCTTCATAGAATATTAACTGGCAATGATCAATGTAAAATTTAGTTGGACTCAATTAAAGGGGATTGAATATATTTTTAGCCTGACATAATAATGATCATTCAAAAGAATAGCCTGGATAGATTACCTGGACCACTGACTTCTTATGTATGAAGGTGAAATTAATGGCGATGTTTATTTATAAAAGAACAATGAATGAATGGAAACCCAAAATCTCTGTAAATGTTCATTAAAATTAATTTATAAAAGAATTTATGTTACAGTCACAAACAGGATGAATGTGGTAAGAAATATAAAAAAGATTGCCTCTAATGAAGATGGCCACTGCATTGATATAGATGCTTAAAAATCAGTCTGACGATATGATAACAGATATACAAAGTGAAGACTTAATGCCTCTTATGATTTGATCATTAATTTATGAACCCATGGTGCTAAGATATCCTATGAAAGCAAAGATACACTGTGGAACTTCTGAGCCTACATACTTAAGCATGTCTTTCTTTTTTGCAGGGAAATTAATTTAAAAAAGAAACAGGTAAAAATAAACTTTTCATTATATCTCCCGGAAGATTAAAAGTTTTTCTTCTATATTATTGCTGTTGTTGATGCAAGCTATCTAACTACAGTGTATTTTTAAGTCCTTAAGTCATGATATTTTAGGAACTCTAGTGATTGAATTTTTATACCTAAGTAATTAATTGATAGACCCAACTAAAGAATTTATTGTCTCTTCTTTAAGTAATTTCCATTTTCAGATTTATCATCATTTTCATTTTTTATTTAATCATATACCATACACATAAAAAGCAAACTATAACAAGAAGGAGGGGAAAAAAAAATCACCCAAACAATTTTAAGGCAAAGAGGCCACTTTTTTACTTAATTTATCATCAGACATATCTTTGCAAGCAGTTAGACAATTCTGAGTTTGCAAAGACCTTAATTAGAGATGCAATCCATTTACAAGTATATTGACCTGTAGGAAATCTATTCTATTCTTGAAGTTTGCTAGAACAGTTACTTTTTCTAGGCCAACACACACACACACACACACACACACACACACACACACACACAGTTACTTTAAATCACTCTGCAGTCTTGAGGAAAGAACTCCTCATTTTTCACATACTTCTATAGTCCTTAAGACAAAAGAATTTGTGCTTCAGTGTTTAACACTAAGTCCCCTAAAAGAAGACTTACATTATGAGCAACACCCTAGAGCAAGACTTAGAAATAGCCTTGATTGGAATCCTGAAGCAGAATAGTATGACAATCAAGACTTAAAATCAAATGCCTTGATTCTGAACTCTCTCCTATTTGACTGGTTCTATGAACTTACAAAGAAAGCTAATTTCTTTGTAAATGTACAATTGTGATATTAAAAACTGTCATCTAAAAATGTGACAGTAATCATATTTAATCCACATAAGTGTGGTGGTTAAATAACATAGGTGAAAACACGTACACCATATGTGTCACATAGCTTCAAAAATTATTCTTATTCTGACTTTGAAAGCAATAACAAATTAGAGTTGTTTAAGATACACAGTTATTATAATGTGACAGATACAGAGATATACAAGGTTACATTCCTACAAAATCAACCATGCAAAATAATTAATAAAGAGACCCTTAACAGAATTAAAAGGGCAAGTTTCTATAAAGTTGTAGCCAACACACATGTGACCACATTCATGAATAAGTTTAACAGAGAGTAATATTATGTATTCATATGTGTTGCAAAAATAGTAGAACATAAAGAAAATCACATTATGAAAACTTTAGACATAATTAAATACCTTGACTATCTGGGGACCCCAGAACCCTAGTTTTGTACGCCAGGAGGGTCCATTGACATAGTCTTTAAAGACAATGTCCTTCACCTACTTTACTTAAGAGCAACGGTGGTATCAAAAGGTTATGAGATTCTATCTAAGCTATAACTACTGGTATCTACCTGTCCTAAGCAAACAAAACAGAACAAAATTGAAGACACATGGTAAAAATCAGTCCAAAGAACCAATGGTTAAATAAACTTCAGGATCTTGAGACCAGACTACAAACCCTCTGGCTCCTACTGCTTACCACTCTAAAAAGAAGCACAATAGGAAGTCATGGTTAGAGTGGTAGAAAAATAAAGACCAAAATTCAAAATAATAACAAATTCCCATGCTAGTTGACTTGGTAGAGATTGATAGACCACCTCATAGTCCTAAGATTATAGCCTCTAGTAATTCTTTAACCCTTACACAAGCCATGTAGCTCAACTTTGAACCAAATAAGAATATAAGGTGAATAAAAACACTGGATCAATCTGTCCTACAATGTCAAACGAGATTTACTTTTTAAAAAACATATAAAGCAGGAAGGGATAGAAAAGAAGGACAAATGGAAATGGTAAACACAAGAAGCAGGAAGAGTGCTATCACGCTTGTCGGAATTGCAAGAAATATCAGGAATTAGAATACACAAAAATTGTTGAAAGGAAGAAAATCTATTAGCTCTAAACACTTTCATTCAAGTCATAATGAAAGGTTAAAAATAAATCAGTAAACAAAATGCCTTCATAAATATATTGCCATTGATTCATGCCCGACACACAGGTGACCTTCCACTGGGTTTCCGAGTCTTCAAATTACACAGGAGACAACTGCCTTTTTTTCTCCTTCAAAGTGACTGGTAGGTTAAACCACCAGAGAGACTCAATCTTTTGGTTAGCACCACAATTCCCTAAAGAGCCCTCCATGCATTAGCATAACAAAGTGTGTGACTTCAACACAATATCAAAAGTCTTAATAATATTCTGATATGTGCTTTCTATTATCAAGAAATACTATGGTATCTTTAATGCACTTCAAAGTGACTACAAGCTTGTAAATTATTAGAAAAGTAATTGAAAGGTGAGGAGTAAGATTGAGTTTATCCACTGATTGTCTTTCCACATATTTCAAGGTGTAAATTTCAAGCAAGGTGTAAATACCAGGTTGAACCAATTCCATCACATTCCTTTTTCTAATAAATAACCAGTATCCAGTATTAGTAGAAATTTCTCTCTAATTCTCAGATGTGAGAAATAAATAAATACTTTTGATCCTCTTGCTAACCAGGTAACAGGTCAAAGTAGAATTTAGGGCGATTTTCATCACATACCAACAACTTCCTTGCGTCCTGCCTTCGCATGCTTACTTCTGGACAGGAGCTCTCTTTGGATTTTCTTTTGCTATGATTTTAAAACATCTCTACAAATTTTATTTTACTTTAAAATGTATTGTGTTAAATATGTCATGACTATTTAAGAAGGAGGCTCTAAAAATATCCTCCCTCAAGTTTCTTGATCTACCTTCAGTATCAAAATCACATTAGCACATAATGCTAATTGGCATTAATGAATGCAAATAGTGTATAAACATGCCAGTTAAGACAGCTATCAGTTTTGAGGTACAATACTTTGGAAAGCAATCCACGCTTAGAAAAAACTATTTGGAGAATTAGCAATAGCAAATTAAGAATTTGCATAAACAATGAATTGAAATGAGAATGAAGAAAAAGATAATGTTATAAGATTTCAAGTTTTCAAAAAAAGAAAACAACATAAAGTTAAGTTGCCTGTATATAAATGTGTTAAACCTTCTCCCAGGCCTAAATTTTAAATACACACAAGAACTAAATATCATTGCTATGGAAGCAATTCCAATTCAGGGTGGTCCCATTTGTTAAGTGTACAACTGCACTCTATATGGTTTTCAATGGCTTCGATGTTTGGTAAATAGATTATCAGGCTTTTCTGAAGAGGCACTTATGGATAGATTTGCACTGTCAACATTTTTGCAAACAGCCTATCACTTACTTCCTTGCACCACCCAGCAGCTCTTATATATGTATGTGTGTGTTCTGCATGTATACCACAAAATATACTTTTAAATAATAGTAAAAAAATTACCTCAAAGTTGTTAAACAAAAATATTGAAACCCTCCTCTTAATTATATTTCTCTACTACTCTTTTGTTCTAACCCCAAACAAACACTGAGAAAAGATTGGCATTTTCCTATTGCCTTCTTTAGAAACCAAATCCAAAGAATATAGTCATTCAGTGATTTAGGGTAAATCAGAGCTGTGGCAAAGATGGAGTCTCTTTTTGCAAAAGTTCTCATGTGAATTATACTCTAACTTCCATTTTAATTCTGACCTTAAATAAATATAAATATAATCCTAGACAAAATCCTTCATCTCTTTGCACATCCATTTTCTCATTTTTTAAAGATGAAATACCTCTACAATCTTACATTATTGTGCTGATGGATATAGATGGATGTAATACAGACATGAGGAACTCTGAGCTTGGAAAGCATGACAAATTATAGGGCAACAATGAGTCAAGGTCTCAAAAGTAAATAATATATATGTGGAGAAATGAGAACAAGCAGACAATAATTGCCCCATGGTGACTTGGTGCCTCATTGTGGTATGCATCTTAACTGTGCTATCTGGATTCAGTCAATAAAGAATCCAGTATGGTATTCCATATCTACTGGATTTTGTGTATAAAAAGCTTGCACTCTTCCTTTCCTCAAAGGTGAATTCATAAAGTCTATGCATGCAACCAAAATCAAGTGCTGGACACAAACCTAAATTTGGCAATGCAGACCCACTCGCAGACACTGAGGAAGACATATCTGATAATCTGTTTCCAAAATCCTATGAAGCAGTTCTACTCTGTTTTACACTTGATACCCTGAATTGGAATCCACTTGATTGCAACTGAAAACAACAAAATAACTCTGATAGATTGCATTTCCCTACCCAATGGAAAGCTCACTTCTTTACTCTCTTAACCAGCTGCCCTTGAATTGGCTTAGCCTCAATAACAACTCTGTGTATGTCAAACTACAACTGCGCACAATGAGGTTTTCAGTGGCTGAGGTTTCAGAAGTAAATCTTCAAGCCTGTTGATAGTCTCAAACCTCCAGTGTTCTAGTTATCAGTTGAGCACATTAACTATTTATGCCACCCAAGGGATTCATTTAGCCTCAAAAATGCCTTTTATATGCCTAATATGTAATGAAGGTTAAAAGTTAGAGGATATTTTGACATATGTATTTTGTATGTACTGCAAATATACCTATATTTGCAGTAGCATATGTAAAGACAAAGTTATGAAAACATCTTAACCAGAATCAAATACATTGAGAAACTTTGCATGCTTAGGGCCATAGTGTCAGGGGATATTTAGGATATTGACAAACATAGTCCATTGAAGACAATACTCTACGTCCTACTTGGTTAAGGAATGACTATAGTCATTTGGTTGAAGAACCTCAACCAGATGGATTGATAGAGTGTGTGTTGCAATGGGATTGAGTTTGTCAGAAACTATGAGAATGGTACAAGATAATACAGGGTTCAGATCTGTCATTCATAGGGTAACTCTGAGCCATGCTCTAACTGAGGACACCTAAAACTAACAACACGGCCATTTAGGATGCAACAATTAGTCTTTCTATGCCCAGAACATGAAGAAAACCTAGGCCATATGAAACAATTTACCCAAAGAGCTAATGGACCACACACTTCACAGCTTCTGTATCCTGGAAGAAGAAGAATTAGATAGTGCCCAACTACCACAACTGACCATTTCGTTTTAGATCACAAGATAAAGAATCGTATAGAGTAATAGAAAAAAATGCAGAGAAAATTTTAAATGTACATAATAGAGTCTGGCTATTCCAATCTGTAACTGAACTAATTTTTCAGCAAAACAGACAGCCTTATAATCGAAAAAGACTATCTATGAGAAACATAATCCTCAGAATAATTACAATAGCCCAAAAGAACAGCATTTGCCCTAAAACAAAGCTCAGGAGGAGAGTGGGAAAGAAGGAACAATGAAAACAAGAATAAGAAGGAGAAAGTGGGAAAAGTATTGCTACACTGAAGGATTTGAACTAATTTCATGAAACAAAAACCTATAAATTGTGGAATGGAAACCTCATTTTCTGTGTATATTTTCACCCAAACTACAATAACAAGGGAGGGAAGAAGTGGGAGTAGTCTATATTGAACTTCTGTTTCAACTTGTGTAGCAAGACTGAGCCCAGCACTGTCACTTTTACTGACCTTTAGAAACATCGTCAAGTAACTTGTAGACCACGGACTCACCTCTAGGATTGATGTCTGCACTTGGAGGATCTGTTCATGGCCTTTGAGCTGCCGAATGCAGATTTTGCAAGACAGCTGAGTGGTGGTGGGAGTGTAGCGCTCCAGGGAGAAGGCACAGTGCAGGGGCTGTCGGTTACTGCACCACACGCGGGAGAAGGGAACTTCCTGCAGGAGAGACAGGGAAAAGAAAAGGGACATGGTGCACACAGCCCAGCTAAGATAAGCAGGCAACAGGAGGGATTTAACAGTAATAATGACGATGATGATGAGAATGATCGTAGCAGAGATAATTGCCTAAGTGACTTCGGTGGAATTGTTCTAGAAATAATGTTCCAGCATATGCCAAGCAGCACAAAAGTAATTAATGTCAATTCCAATTGGTACCATTTGAATTCCAAAACCACACTGCAAGAGCTGAAATTTCAGTTGGTGACAGATGCACTTAGAAAGAATACCGAATATAGTTAATCATCTCCCCTCTCTCCCACTTAAATATATGCTCTGCTTTAGAAGACACCTATGATCCACATCTTTCCTAAATCTAAGATAGCATCTTCTCATTTAAAGGAATGTTGTGGAGAAGAACTGGCTGACTAAATTTATTTCCACACCACAAACATCTACAAAAACTTCACACATAATTGCACATCATCCTGCATAAAGATGAATACTTGCAGTAAAATTACAAATTCAACTATTTACCCCAGAGCAGTCTCATTTGCTAACTCCATACATAATCCATCCCATAATTATGGATATAATGCCTGTAAATGGTCAGATACTGTGCTAGCAGTTTCTAATCAGAAAAACAAGAATAAACAATAAGAAACAGCAAAAACTGGGTTTCTCCTCTCTCTCATAACATTTATAGGCAATTTACAGGCAAAAGTAGTTTTTACTAAATGGGAGGGAGAAAAGATTATAAAATCTACTTCAGTCATCTTTTTCTCCATTACTAGCCAATGGTTGCCACCAACTGGACTACACTCAGGCTTGTGACTTTATAATAACATAAAGCAGAGGGCAGTCACTCATGTTCTTTCATGTACTAAGTGGTCTCTCTTTCATTCATTAATTTGGCTGGGACCATTTAGCAATGATCATGTATACTCTAGTTACACCTATCCTCATCTTTTCCCCCTTATAGCATTACTTTTTCTGATCTTGCGGCTATAAATATAATTTAAACAAATACTAATCCAGAAAGGTGATGAAAGGTATATTAAGTTTGAAAGTTCGAGACTCTGAAGTGTGTTTGCTGCTGAGGCCTGCATATGCTGCAAGACCAACAGCCACAATTAAAATTCAGTCTATTCACTTGAGCTACGAGTTACCCCATCGAGCTATGCACACTGTTCTTGTCTCTTCCTTTATCATTTTCCTCATAAACATTCCCACACATTTTGGGTTGAATTTTCCCAAATCTAGCAACAAGGAGAGATTGATTATAGATTTCACCACTCTTCAAGGAAGAAATGCGGGAATCTAGTAAAATTTTTGCTCCTAACATGCATCTCAGTCATCAATATAAGGGCTTTTATTTGTTTCCTTTTTCTTAACCTTGAACCAAGTAAAGATACTGACATTCTGAAATCCCATCTCAGGAAGTAGAGAAATGTCTCAAAGAAAATCGATATGTATGACACTCAGTGATATTTCAGTGACATTCCTGCACAAGATGCAATCTGCTAGTATTCAAAGCTATCTACCCATTCCTAGTTTCCATACACATCAGGGGCTAGAAGCCTACAATCTAAATTTCACACATTTCCTGGATAGGAAAGTTTACATTTCAATGTTACTAATCAGAGACATCCATGTTAGGTATGGAAGGTAGAGGAGAAGAAAGAGAAAGCCACAATTGTTCATACAAGAAGGGAAACCCAAAGGCTTATTTATTGGGTTTGCAGTGTCTTTTCTACTTTTTCATTAGAATAATCTGTTGCAAGATTCTTTTCTGAAATTCCTAATTTTCCTGGTCTCGGAAAAGCCTTGTAGTCTTTTCCGGCCATGGTTCCCCTCACTCATTCACTGTCATCTAGTAGGAACCAACTTATGTTTGATTGACCCTCCACTGGGTTTTCAGAAACTTTTTACAAGAGAGTAGCCATCTCTTCCACACAGAGCCTCGGGTGGATTTGAACCTCCAAACAGGAGCTGCTTTTGGGTTAGCAGCACATTCCTGACTGACTATGCTCCTCGAGCTCCTAATCTGACTCCCTTACCCCTGCTAAGGATTTTGGCAGTACATCAATCAACCCTTTCATTAAATTTCTCTGCTATAAATCTCCCATTCTTGAAAGACCTTTACTGGCTTTTGTTTCCCTAGTTAAAATAATTATATAAGGAAACTACTGTGAATTGGAAGTTCTTTTGGAAAATTATATTAGCTGGGCAATTAGGAAATGTACCATGAGTGGATTGCACAAGGTGGTTGTCATCTATATGAAATTCTGAGAAACTTATGTTCATTAAAGAAGCTTTGGCTAGAGTAAACCTTGTTCATGCTTCAAGGCAAGATCATTCAATGGTCCGCCTTTACCAATGATTTCCTGTACAATGCATTTTCTTTTTAATTCAAGATTGTCTCAATTACTTTCCTGGAGACAATGAAGCAAAAGATACTTCTTAATGATGACACCTCCCTGAAACATTTCAAAACTCTCATTGCTGTCGAGACGTAACTGACCCACAGCCAATCTTCTATTGCATTTCTGAGGCTATTTTAATCATGTGGGAGGAAATTGTTCATTTTTCTCCCTTTGGAGAAAACCTGGGTTCGAACCATCAAGCTGTGACTTTTGGACTAATAATAGTATAAAGCACTCAAATTCCATCTGCATTAAATTTCATACCACATCAAAAGAAATAATACGCATTTACAAGCTCAGAATTTCTTTCTTGTGTAATCGGATCCTGTCAGTACTTATACCCTGGCCTATTCTTGCATTTAATGGGTATTTGTTACTTAATATCTCAGACTTCTCCACGACTCTGTTCAATCAATTCCTCAAGATCTTATCTGGTTATATATGCCCAGTTTTCATTTCTTTGCATGGATAATTCCAATAGCTATAAGTTATGTCTATCTTTGGCATTATAATTATTAGAAATTGTGTTATGTGCACTTTACTCCCGTTGTAATTTTAGTATTTGAAAATGAATTGTCACCATGTTTTACCTATTGTCTTTCTTCCCAAACGTTCCTATGTCCATTAGTGGTCTCTTCATTGGAATTGGTGTTCTTTTTCACTGCAGCTAATTAAAATGACCAAATAACAGGTCTTCTGCTCTTCAATCTCTACTCCATGAGTGCTGAGTGTTAGAACTTGCATGAAGAATGAAATAGGCAAGTTAACTGGCATTGACATTACTACTGATGTTTTTGTTTCCCTCTGACCATGTTATGACACAGTCATATAACCAGATAACCTAAAAACTCTCTATTTCCCTTGACTGTGTAGATCATAACAAACTGTGGCTGACTCTGAGAAGAATGGGAAGCCCAGAACATTTGATTGCGCTAATGCAAAACCTATACTTGGACCAAGAGGCAGTCGTCAGAACAGAGCAAGGAAACACTACATGGTTCAAAATTGGGAAGGGTATATGCCAGACCTGTATCCTGTCTCCATACATTTTCAATCTTTATGCAGAACAGGTTATCCAGGAGAAATGCGGCATCAGGACTGGAGGAAGAATCATGAACAATCTGCCTTATGCAGATGACACAACCTTGCTTGCTGAAACTGAAGAGGACCTGAAACACTTGTTGTGGAAGGTCAGGGACTGCAGTCTTCAGTACGGATTGAGGCTCAATACCAAAAAATAAAGATTCTCACCACTTGGCTGATTGTCAGCCTCATAATGGATGGAAGAGATTGAGATTGCTCACAGTTTTGGTTTGCTTGGCTCCATAGTCAGTACTCTTGGCACCAGCAGCCAAGAAATTTTAAAAAAAAGTATTGCAATGGGAAAGTCAGCAGTTAGAGACCTAAGGATGTCAGTATGGAGACTAAGGTGTGCCTAATACATGCCATGGTCTTTTCAATCACTTGCTATGCACCAGAGAGCTGGACAAAAACTAGGGATGATAGAAGGAGAATTGATGCCTTTCAGCTGTGATGCTTGAGAAGTGTATTGAATATACCATGGACTGCTAGGAGAACAAATAGGTTTGTCCTGGAGAGGGTGAAGCTGGACTGCTCCTTGGAGGCAAGGATTCTGAAGCTTCGTCTGAAATACTTTGGGCATGTTGCAAGGAGAGTCCAGTCCTTGGAGAGGGACCTCATGTTTGGGAGGGTGGAGGGACAGAGCAGGAGAGGAAGATCCTCAGTGAGATGGATTGATTCAGTGACTGGGGTAATTGGGCAAGATGTGTCGGAGATGGTGAGATTGGCACAGGAAATGGCAGAGTTTAGGACTGCTGTACATAGGGTCGCTATGAGTCATAGACAACAAGAACAAAATTACTTTGTGAGAAAAACATGGCCCCTTCTTTCCTATCATGTTAAATCTAGCTGCTCTCTGCTTGATCTCCATGGGTTTCTTTTGGCCTTTGGACTGTCCTCCTGTCCTCACACTTTTCTGATTTCTGTTCGTTCACAAATGAATTCTATTTGAGAAATCATTACCTTTTTAAAATAAAGTCACTTTGAATGCGATTTTTTTTTAATTCAAGAAACTATAATAGATGGCTCTGAAATTAACAGTTTCTTTTATCTAGGTCAAAGTTTTATTTTCCCCCTTTCTTTGTAAAATTGAACACTGAGTCACAATGTTGCTTGCTGCAGACAGTCAAGGACTGCAGTCTTCAGTATGGATTGAAGCTCAATGTCAAGAAGACAAAGATTCTCACCACTGGACCAATTGGCAGTATCAGGATGGATGGTGAAGAGATTGAGATTGTTAACAACTTTAGTCTGCTTGGCTGCACGGTCAACACTCTTGGCACCAGTAGCCAGGAAATAAAAAAACATATTGCGTTAATGGTTGGCTACCCAATGCGGACTGAGAGTGGGGTGGAGCTCCCCGATTGAACAAGCGTGGAAGGAGGAGTGGCATCCACTTCCATAATAGCTTGCCTCCAGAAACCCTGTGAACTTGGAGAGAGAATGAAAGGCACCCAAGCGTCAAGGACTCTCCTTCATAAGGTTGCTATGAGT